CATACATTCTTTTAGTTTTCATTCTGAGATATTTTGTTTTTAACTACAGGAGTCAAAGGGATCTGAATTTCTTCTCCTGAATTTTATTATGAAAGTGTTTCCAAAATTCCAAGTCATGTGGTTTGACTTGGAATTTTGGAAACACTTTATTTGAAAAATTCAAAAGAACAAATTTCACAGCCCATTGAATCCCATAGATAAAAACAAAATATCCCAGAATGAAAACCAAATAAATGTACGGTGAAAATAATTTTTGATATGTGGATTCAACTCATAGAATTAAACATGTGGTTTGACTTGGAATTTTGGAAACTCTTTCTTTCTAAAATTCAGAAAAAAGAATTTCAGATACCTTTGACTCCTGTAGTTAAAAACTAAATATCTCAGAATGAAAACTAAAAAAATGTGCACTAAAAATGCCTTTTGATGTGAGGATTCAGCTTACATAATTGAACATATGGTTTGACTTGGAATTCTAAAAACACTTTATTTGTAAAAGTCAGAAGAATAAATTTAAGACCCAATGAGTCCTATAGTTAAAACAAAATATCACAGAATGAAAACTTTAAAAATGTCCGGTGAAAATAATTTTTGATGTGCAGATTCAGCTCACAGAACTGAACATCTGGTTTGACTTGGAATTTTGGAAATACTTTAGTGGTTAAAATAAGCAGAAAGAATTTTAGAGCCCATTGAGTCCTACAGTTAAAAACAAAATATCCCAGAATGAAAACTCAACAAATGTACCGTGAAATTCCTTCTTGATGTCAGGATTCAGCTCACAGAACTCAACATGTGGTTTGACATGAAATTTTGGAAACAATTTATTTGAAAAATTCAGGAGAAATAATTTAAGACCCATTGAGTCTGATGGTTAAAACAAAATATCCCAGAAAGAAAACTAAAAAAAATGTACGCTGAAAATGGTTTTTGATGTTAGGATTCAGCTCACATAATTGAACATGTGGTTTTACTTGGAATTTTGGAAACACTTTATTTGTAAAATTTTGGAGAAAGAATTTCAGAGCCCACTGAGTCCTGTAGTTAAAAACAAAATATCACAGAATGAAAACTGAAAAAAAAAAATGTATGGTAAAAATACTGTTTTATGTGTAGATTCAGCTCCCAGAATTGAACATGTGGTTTCACGCAGAATTTTGGAAAAACTTTCTTTGAAAAATTTAGGAGAAGGAATTTCAAAGCCCATTGAGTCTTATAGTTAAAAACAAAATATCTCAGAATGTAAACTAAAAAAATGTTTGTTGAAAATGCTTTTGGATGTCCGGATTCAGCTCACAGAATTGAACATGTGGTTTCACGCAGAATTTTGGAGACACTTTTTTTGTAAAATTCCGAAGAAAGAATTTCAAATCCCATTGAGTCCTATAGTTAGAAACAAAATATCTGAGAATGAAAACTAAAAGAATGCATGGTGAAAATTCTATTTGGTTTGTGCATTCAGCTCTCAGAATTGAACATGTGGTTTGACTTGGAATTTTGAAAACAATTTCATTGTAAAATTCAAGAGAAAGAATTTTAGAGCCCACTGAGTCCTATAGTTAAAAACAAAATATCCCAGAATGAAAACAGAAAAATGTACAGTGAAAATACTTTTTTATGTGCTGATTCAGCTCACAGAATTGAGCATGTGTTTTGACTTGAAATTTTGGAAACACTTTCTTTGTAAAATTCAAGAGAAAGAATTTCAGAGCCCATTGAATCCTATAGTTAAGAACACAATATCCCAGAATGAAAATTATAAAAATATATGGTGAAAATGCTTTCTGATGTGCGGATCAGCTCACCAAATTGGACATGTGGTTTGACTTGGAATTTTGGAAACACTTTATTTGGAGAATTCAGGAGAAAGAATTTCAGAGCCCATTGAGTCCTATAGTTGAAAACAAAATATCCCAGATTAAAAACTAAAAAAATGTATGGTGAAAATGCTTTTTGATGTGTGAATTCATCTCACAGAATTGAACATATGGTTTGACATGGAATTTTGGAAACAGTTTCTTTGTAAAATTCAGGAGAAAGAATTCGAGAGCCCATTGAGTCCTATAGTTAAAAACAAAATATCCCAGAATGAAAACTAAAAAAAAATGTATGGTGAAAATGCTTTTAGATATGTGGATTCAACTCACAGAATTCAATATGTGGTTTGACTTGGAATTTTGGAAAAACATTGTTTGTAATATTCAGGAGAAAAGATTTCAGAGCCCATGGAGTTCTATTGTTGAAAGCAAAATATCCCAGAATGAAAACGAAGAAAATGTATGGTGAAAATGCTTTTTGATGTGTGGATTCAGCTCACAACATTGAACAGGTGGCTTGACATCAAATTTGGGAAACACTTTCTTTGTAAAATTTAGGAGAAAGAATTCCAGAGCCTATTGAGTCCTATAGTTAAAAACAAAATATCCCAGAATGAAAACTAAAAAAATGTACTCTGAAAATGGTTTGTATTTTCGGGATTCAGCTCATTCAATCGAACTTCTGTTTTGATTTTGTAGGTTGCAAACACTCTTCTTTTGGAATCTCAGAAGTGATATATAGGCCTATGGTGAAAAACCGAGTATTCCATGTCAAAAACAAGAGAGAAGTTTTCTGTTAAAATGCTTTGTGATGGGTGCATTTAGCTCACAGAGTCGATCTTTTGCTTTTATTCAGCTGGTCGGAAACACTCTTTTTGTAGAATCTAGCAATATCATTTCAGATCCCTTTGACACATATGATGAAAAGAAGAACTCCTCACAATGAAAACTAAAATGAAGCTATCTGTAAAAAATACTTTGCAACGTGCAGATTCAGCTCACAATGTTCAACGTTTGTTTTCATACAGAATGTCTGAAATACTCTTTTGGGAGAATTTATAAAGTGATATTTCAGAGCCCATTGAGGCCTATGACAAAAAACAGAATATCCTATGATAAAAACTAGAAACAAGCCATCTGGAAAATTGCTTTGCAATGTGTGGAGTAAGTTCACAGAGCTGATTGTTTGATTTTATTCAGGAGGTTTGAAGCACTCTTTTATATACTATCTAGAAAATGACATTTGAATGCTCTTTGAGGAATATAGGTGAAAAACCAAATATGTTGTGATAAAAATTAAAAATAAGATATCTGTGAAAATGCTTTTTGATGGGTGGATTCAACTCACAGAGTTCAACGTGTGTTTTTATTTGAACGTTTAGAAACACTTTCTTTGTAAAATTCAGGAGGGAGCATTTCAGAGCCCATTGAGTTCTATGGTTTAAAACCAAATAGTCAAAATGAAAACTAAAATAAAATACTGTGAAAAAGCTTTGTGGTGCAGCATTTCGACTCATACAGTCGAACCTCTGTTTTGATTCTGTAGGTTGCAAAGCCCCTTCTTGTGGAATCTAAGAAGCGATACAGAGGTCTACGGTGAAAACAGAATATTCCACGTTAAAAACAAGAGAGAAGGTATCTGTGAAAATGCTTTGTGATATTTGCATTAAGCATAAAGGGTCGATCCTTTGTTTTTATTCAGCGGTTCGGAAACACTCCCTTTGCAGAATCTAGCAGCAACATTTCCGATCCCATTGATGAAAAACCAAATACACCATGATGAAAACTAAAAAGATGCTATGTGTGAAAAATACTTTGTGACGTGCACATTCAGCTCACAATGTTCAATGTTTGTTTTCTTCTAGAATGTCTGAAATACTCTTTTTGGAGAATCTGAGAAGGGACATTTCAGAGCCTTTAGAGGCCTATGGCAAAAAAAACAGAATATCCTGTGACAGAAATTAGAAAAAAACGATCTGGGAAAATGCTTTGCAATGTGTGGATTAAGTTCACAGGGGTGATCTTTTGTTTTTTTACAGCAGGCTGGAAGCACTCTGTTTTGTAGAATCTAGAGAAGGACATTTGAAAGCTCATTGAGAACTGTAGGTGAAAAGCCAAATACCCTGTGATAAAAATTAGAAGAAAGATATCTGTGAAAATGCCTGTTGAAGTGTGAATTCAGCTCACAGAGTTGAACTTCCGTTTTGATTCAGCAAGTTGGGAACACTTTTCTTGTAGAATGTAGGAAAATAATTCGAAGATCATTGAAGCCTGTCATGAAAAATCTAAGATTGACTAATAAAAATCAGATATAAGCTATTTATAGAAATGCTTTGCAATGTGTGAATTAATGTTACAGAATTCAATCTTTCTTTACATTTATCATGTTTGAAAATCTATGTGGAATCATGAAAGGGACATTATAAAGTCAATAATGTCAATAGGCCTAGGGTAAAAAACTGAATATCCCGTGATACAAATTAGAAACAACTATCTGTGAATATGCTTTGCAATGTGTGGATTCAGCTCAAAGATTTGAATCTTTGCTTTGATTCAGCAGTTTGGAAACACATTTTTGGAGGTTCTAGGGTGGGATATTTCAGAGCCAATTGAAGCCTATGAATCCCATGGTGAAAACTATAAACAAGCTATCTTTACAAATGCTTTGCCAAGGATGGCACCAGTTCACAGAGTTCAAGAATTGTTTGATTCAGCAGGTTGGAAAAACTGTTTTTATAGAATCTAAGAAGAAATATTTCAAAGTCCACTGAGGCCTATGGTGAAAAACCAAATATCCCATAATAAAATCCGGAAAGAAGCAATCTATGAAAATGCTTTGTGATATGTGATTTCAGCCCAAATTTTTTAAGCTTTGTTTTGGTTCAGTAGGTTGGAAACCCCATTTTTGTAGAATCTATAAAGGGACAAGCATTCTATAAAAATGCTTTGCAATATGTAGAGTCAGCCTATGGCTGGAGTGCAATGGTGCGCACTTGGCTTATTGCAACACCTGCCTCCTGGGTTCAAGCGATAGTACTGCCGCAGCCTCCCAAGGAGCTGGGGTTGCAGGTTTCCACAACACCACGTCCAGCTAACTTTCTCTTTATTATTTATTTATTTATTTATATGCCTCAAATCTATCTGTATTTTATTTCTACCAAACAGCCAGAAAGGCAAAAATAAAACAATACGGAATGCTGCACACCTTGGCATGTCATCCTTGCTCAGCAGCCACGACAGCCTTCTGTGTATCATCACAATTTTAGCATAGGTGCTGCTGAAGCGAGCACATGCCATGCTCGGCTCAGCTTTTTTATTTTTCTCTGTTTTTATGTTTTTCATAGGGAGCAGGTGGTGCTCTGTCTTTCAAGGCCAGTCTCGAACCTGTCATCTCATGATCCACTCACCTTGGCCTGCCAAAGTGCTGAGATTACAGGTGTGAGTTGCCGAGCCCAATCCAAGTTTTGTTTTCATTTTAAAGACAGGGTTTCACCACCTTGGTCGGGCTGGTCTTGAACCCACAACCTTGGGTGATCCATCTGCCTTGGTCTTCAAAGCACTTGGATGACAGGCTCATGTGAGCCACCGTGCCTGGCCAGCAGACTTTATTGTTAAAAAAGAAATCCGAGAGACTGGACTGGGTGCTGTGATTTACGCCAGCAATCCTAGCCCTTTGGGACGCTGGGGTGGGCGGATCACCTGAGGTCATGAGTTCGAGGTCAGCCTGGGCATCCCAGTGAAAACCCACCTCATTTAAAAAAAGAGAAAAAGAAAAAGTAAAGAAATCAGACATACCAGTGTGCATAATTGTAAAAACGAGGTGCTGGATGACTCCAGCTTCCGCCCCGCCTTTCTCTATGATGTAATATTTCCCTCTTGTCACCCAGGCTGTAGTGCAACAGTGCGATCTTGGATTATTGCAAAATCTGCTTTTTCTGTTGAAGCAATTTTCCTGCCGCAGCCTCTCAAAAAACTGGTTGCAGGTGTCCACACCACCACGTCCAGCTAACGTTCTGTTTATTTAATTATTTTTTTTCTCTACCTCAAATCTATCTATATTGGATTTCTACCAAACAACCAGAATGGCAAAAAAAAAAAAAAAAAAAAAAAAACAGAATGCTGCACACCTTGGCATGTCATCCTTGTGCGGCGGCCATGCTGGCCTTCTGTGTATTGTCCCAAATTTAGTGTAGGTGCTACCGAAGCGAGCACATGCCATGTGCGGCTCAGCTTTTTAATTTTTTATGTTTTTCTTAGGGAGCCAGTTGCACACAGCCGGTTGTGTCATTCAAGGCAAGTCTCGAACCTGTGACCTCAGGATCCACTTGCCTCGGCCTTCCAAAGTGCTGGGATTACAGGCGTGAGCCGCCAAGCCGAACGCAAGTTTTGTTCTCATATTAAAAACAAGGTTTCACCTCGTTGGTCGGGCCAGTCTCGAACCCGCATCCTCCAGTGATCTGCCCTCCTTGGTCTTCAAAGCGCTTGGATGACAGGCTCACGTGAGCCACCATGCCCAGCTGGCACACTTTATTGTTAAAAAAGAAATCTGAGAGACTGGGCCAGGTGCTGTTACTCACGCCAGCAATCCAGCACTTTGGGAGGCCAAGGTGGGCGGGTCACCTGATGTCACGAGTTCAAGGTCAGCCTGAGCATCCCGGTGAAAATCCACCTCATTTAAAAAAAAGAGAAAAATAAAAAGAAAGGAAATCAGACAGACCAATGTGTACAATTGTAAAAAACGAGGTGCCAGAACACTCCACCCCCAGCCTCACCTTTCTTTATGAAGTAGTGTTTCCCTCTTTTCACCCAGGCTGGAGTGCAATGGTGCGATCTTGGCTTATTGCAACATCTGCCTCCTCAGTTCAAGCGATCGTCCTGCCTCAGCCTCCCAAGGAGCTGGAGTTGCAGGTGTCCACACCACCATGTATAGCTAACTTTCTCTGTATTTATTTATATTTATTTATTTATTTATTCTGTACGTGAAATCTATCTGTATTTGATTTCTACCAAACAGCCACAACAGCAAAAAAAAAAAAAAATACAAAACGCTGCACACCTTGGCATGTCATTCTTGCATGGTGGCCATGCTGGCCTTCTGCGTATCGTCCCAATTTTAGATTAGGTGCTGCCGAAGCGAGCACATGCCATGCCCATCTCAACTTTTTAATTTTTTTCTGTTTTTATGTTTCTCATAGGGAGTGGGTTGCGCTGTGTCATTCAAGGCCAGTGTCGACCTCACCATCCACTTGTCTCGGCATTCCAAAGTGCTGTGATTACAGACGTAAGCTGCCGAGCCCAACCCAAGTTTTGTTTTTGATTTAAAGACGGGGTTTCAACACGTTGGTCAAGCTGGTCTTGAACTTGCAAACTCTGGTGATTTGCCCACCTTGGTATTCAAAGGGCTTGGATGACAGGCTCACGTGAGACACCGTGCCCCGCTTGCCAAATTTATTGTTACAAAAATAATCCAAGAGACTGGGCTAGGGCTGTGACTCATGCCTGCAATCCCAGCACTTTGGGAGGCCAAAGTGGGGGAAGGGTCACCTGAGGTCACGTGTTCGAGGTCAGCCTGGGCATCCCAGTGAAATCCACCTCATTTAAAAAAAGATAAAAAGAAAAAGAAAAGAAATCAGAGAGAACAGTGTGTACAATTGTAAAAAATGAGGTCCTGGATGATTCCATCCCCGTTCCACCTTTCTTTATGATGTAGTGTTTCCCTTTTGTCACCCAGGCTGGAGTGCAATGGAGCGATCTTGGCTTATTGCAACATCTGCCTCCTCAGTTCTAGCGATTGTCCTGTCACAGCCTCCCAAGAAGCTAGGGTTGTAGGTGTCCACACCACCACATCCAGCAAATTTCTGTTTATTTTTTTTTCTGTCCCTCAAATCGATCTGTAATTGATTTATAAGAAACAGCCACAACGGCAAAAAAACAAAAATATGGAATGCTGCACACCTTGCCGTTTCATGCTTGTGCACTGCTCACACTGGCTTTCTGGGTATCGTCCCAATATTAGCATAGGTGCTGCCAAAGAGTACATGCCATGCCCGGCTCAGGTTTTGTATTTTTTTTTCTGTTTTTATGTTTTTCATAGGGAGCGGGTTGCGCTGTGTCATTCATGGCCAGTCTTGAACCTGTGACCTTATAATCCACTTGCCTTGGCATTCTAAAGTGCTGGGATTAGAGGCGTGAGCTGCCTTGCCCAACCCAAGTTTTGTTTTCATTTTAAAGATGAGGTTTTACCACGTTGGTCGGACCGGTCTCGAACCCACAACCTCAGGTGATCCACCCACATTGGTATTCAAAGGGCTTTGATTACAGGCTCACGTGAGCCACCATGCCCGGCCATCCAAGATTATTGTTAAAAAAGAAATCCGAGAGACTGGGCCAGGCGCTGTGACTCACGCCAGCAATCCTTGCACTTTGGGAGGCCGAGGTGGGTGCATCACCTGAGGTCACAACTTCGAGGTCAGCCTGGGCATCCCAGTGAAAACCCATCTTCTTTAAAAAAGAGAGAAAAAGAAAAAGAAATCAGGCAGATAAGTGTGTACAATTGTAAAAATCGGGGCGCTGGATGACTCCACTCCTGGCCCTGCCTTTCCTTATGATGTAATGTTTTCGTCTTGTCACCCTGGCTGAAGTGCAATGGTGGGATCTTGGCTTATTGCAACATGTGCCTCCTCGGTTCAAGCAATTGTCCTACCGCAGGCCCCCCAAGTACCTGGGGTTGCAGTTGTCCACAACACCACGTCCAGCAAACTTTTTTTTTCTTTTTTGTACCTCAAATCTATCTGTATTTGATTTCTACAAAACAGTCACAACAACAAAAAATACAAAACGCTGCACACGTTTGCATGTTGTCCTTGCATGGCAGCCAGGCCCGCATTCTGTGTATCGTCCCAATTTTATTGTAGGTGCTGCTGAAGTGAGCACATGCCATGCCCGGCTCAGCTTTTTTTTTTTCTGCGTTTATGTTTTTTATAGGGAGCGGGTTGTGCATTGTCATTCCAGGCCAGTCTCAAACCTGTGACCTCACAATCTGCTCGCCTAGGCCTTCCAAAGTGCTAGGATTGCAGCGTAAGCCACCGAGCCCAACCTAAGTTGTGTTTTTGATTTAAAGATGAAATTTTAGTGTGTTGGTAGGGCTAGTCTCGAACCCGCCACCTTGGGTGATCCGCCCGACTTGGTCTTCAAAGGGCTTGGATGACAGGCTCACGTGATCCCCTGCACCTGGCCAGCCATCTTTATGGTTAAAAAAAAAATAAGAGAGACTGGGCTGGGAGCTGCAACTCATGCCAGAAATCCAGCACTTTGGGATGCCCAGGTGGGCGGGTCACCAGAGGTCACGGGTTGGAGGTCAGCCTGGGCATCCCGGTGAAAACCCACCTCCTTTAAAAAAAGAGAAAAAGAAAAAGAGAGAAATCAGACAGATCAGAGTGTACAGTTGTAAAAAACGAGGTGCCAGATGACTCCACCCCTGGCCCAGCCTTTCTTTATGATGTAGTGTTTCCCTCTTGTCACCCATGCTGGAGTGCAAAGGTAGGATCTTGGCTTATTGCAACATGTGCCTCATTGGTTCAAGCAATTGTCCTGCACAGCCCAAAATGTAGCTGGAGTTGCAGGTGTCCACCCCACCACAACCAGCTAACATTTTGGGTTTTTTTTTCCTGTGCCTCAAATGTATCTGTATTTGATTTCTACAAAACAGCCACAATGGCAAAAAAAAAAAAAAAAAAAAAAAATACAGAACGTTGCACACCTTTGCAGCGTTCTGTGTATCGTCCCAATTTTAGTGTAGGTACTGCCGAAGAGAGCAATGCCATGCCCGGCTCAGCTTTTTAAATTTTTTTTTGCTTGTATGTTTTTTATAAGGAGCGGGTTGTGCTGTGTCATTCAAGGCCAGTCTCGAACGTGACCTCAGGATCTGCTTGCCTCAGCCTTGCAAAGTGCTAGGATTACAGGCGTGAGCCGCCGAGCCCAAGCTAAGTTGTGTTTCTGTTTTAAAGACGGGCTTTCACTGTCATGGTCGGGGTGGTCTCCAATCCACAACCTCAGGTGATCCACCCACCTTGGTCTTCAAAGCGCTTGGATAACAGGCTCAAGTGAGCCCCCTCGTGCCCAGCCAGCCGACTTTATTGTTAAAAAAAGAAATCAGAATGACTGGGCCGGGTGCTGTGACTCACGCCAGCAATCCTAGCACTTTGGGAAGCTGAGGTGGGCGTGTCACCTGAAGTCACGGGCTTAAGGTCAGCCTGGGCATCACTGTGAAAACCCACCTCCTTTAAAAAAAGAGAAAAAGAAAAAAAGAAATCACACAGATCAGTGTGTACAATTGTAAAAATCCAGGTGATGGATGACTCTACCCTTGAACCCACCTTTCTTTATGATGTAATGTTTCCCTCTTGTCACCCATGCTGGAGTGCAAAGGTGGGTTCTTGGCTTACTGCAACATGTGCCTCCTTGGTTCAAGGGATTATTCTGTGACAGCCCACCAAGTAGCTGGGGTTGCAGGTGTCCACACCACCACATCTAGCTAACTTTTTTTTAACCCCAAATGTATCTGTATTTTATTTCTACAAAACAGCCACAATGGCAAAAAAAATTCCAGAATGCTGCAAACTTTTGAGGGTCATCCTTGCACAGCGGCCACGCCTGCCTTCTGTGTATCATCCCAAATTTAGTGTAGGTGCTGCCAAAGTGAGCACATGCCATGCATGGCTTAGTTTTTTAATTTTTTTTCTGCTCTTATGTTTCTTAGAGGGAGCAAGTTGTGCTGTGTCGTTCAAGGCCAGTCTCAAACCTGTGACCTCCCGATTCACTCACGTAGGCATTCCAAGGTGCTAGGATTACAGGAGTGAGCTGCTGAGCCCAATCTAAGTTCTGTTTTTGTTTTAAAGACAGGGTTTCACCGTGTTGGTCGGGCTGGTCTCGAACCAACAACCTTGGGTGATCCGCCATCTTGGTCTTTAAAGTGCTTGGATGACAGGCTCACGTGAGCCCCCGTGTCCCACTGGCCAACTTACTTTAAAAAAAAAAATCAGAGACTGGGCCTGGCGCTGTGACTCACGCCAGCAATCTTAGCAGTTTGGGAGGCTGAGGTGGGCGGGTCACCTGAGGTCACAGGTTCAAAGACAGCCTGGGCATCCTGGTGAAAACCCAACTTCTTTAAAAAAAGAGAAAAAGAAAAAGAAAAAAAAATCAGATCAGTGTGTACTATTGTGAAAAACGAAGTGCTGGATGAATCCACCCCCAGTCCCGCATTTCTTTATGACGAAGTGTTTCCCTCCTGTCACCCAGGATGGAGTGCAATGGTAGGATATAGGCTTATTGCAACATGTGCCTCCTTGGTTCAAGCAGTTGTCCTCTCGCAGCCCACCAAGAAGCTGGGGTTGCAGGTGTCCACACCACCACGTCCAGCTAACTTTTTTTTTGTACCTCAAATCTATCTGTATTTGATTACTACAAAACAGCCACAATGGCAAAATATATATATACGGAATGCTGCACACCTTTGTGTGTTGTCCTTGCGTGGTGGCCACACCCGCTTTCTGTGTATGGTCCCAATTTTAGTGTATGTGCTGCCAAAGCGAGCAGATGCCATGCCTGGCTCAGCTTCTTTGTTTTTTTAAATGCAAATTTTTGCTTAAGTTTACTTTCATTGTAAAAACTAATTTCTCGTAAGAGCTTTTTAACAGTGGCACAGTCTTAATACATTTTAAATAAATTACAACCAAGCCTAAATTATTGTGTAGAGTGAGAGGGATTTAAAGAAACTACAGTCACCCTTTTGGTTGGCTAAGAAGCCAAATTAATCCTTCATGCATTTAGTTGACAGTAATTTCAGTTCATTTGTAGCCCCACATATGTGGTTTTTCGCCTATATTCCTCAATGAGCATTCAAATGTCTTTTTCTACATTCTAAAAAACAGTGTGCTTCCAACCTGCTGAATAAAAACTAAGGTTCACCTCTGTGAACTTAGTCCACACATTGCAAAGCATTTTTTCAGATTGCTTGTTTCTAGTTTTTATCACGGGATATTCTGTTTTTTGCCATAAGCCTCTCTGGGCTCTGAAATGTCACTTTATAAATTCTCCAAAAAGAGTATTCCAGACTTTCTGTATGACAACCAACGTTTAACACTGTGAGCTGAATCTGCACGTCGCAAAGTATTTTTCACAGATAGCTTCATTTTAGATTTCATTGTGGGGAATTTGGCATTTTATCAAATGTTTCAATGGGATCTGAAATGTTGTTGCTAGATTCTACAAAAAGAGTGTTTCCAACCACCTGAATAGAAACAAAGGATAGACTCTGTTAGCTTAATGCACACATCACAAAGCATTTTCACAGATAGCTCCTCTCTTGTTTTTAACGTGGAATATTTTGTTTTTCATGAAAGACCTGTCTATCGCTTCTTAGATTCCACAAGAAGAGTGATTGCAACCTCCAGAATCAAAACCAAGGTTCGACTGTATGAGCTGAATCCCCACATCACAAAGCATTTTCAGAGTACTTTTCTTTTTAGTTTTCATTTTAGATATTTGATTTTAAACCATAGGACTCAATGGGCTCTGAAATTCTCCCTCCTGAATTCTACAAAGTAAGTGTTTCCAAACTTCCAAATCAAACCACATGTTCAACTCTAAGTTGAATTCACATATCAAAAAGCATTTTCACAGATAGCTAGTTTCTAAGTTTTATCACAACATATTTTGTTTTTCACCTATATTCCTCAATCAACATTCAAAAGTCTTTTTCTAGATTCTACAAAACAGAGTGCTTCCAATCTACGGAATAAAACCCAACGTTCACTTCTGTGAACTTAATCCACATATTGCAAAGCATTTACCCAGATCACTTGTTTCTAGTTTATATCACAGGATATTCTATTTTTTATTATAGGCCTCTATGAGCTCTGAAATGACACTTTATAAATGGTCTGAAAAGAGTATTTCAGACATTCTGTATGAAAACAAATGTTTAACACTCTGAGCTGAATCTGCACATTGCAAAGAATTTTTCACAAATAGCTTCTTTTTAGTTTTCATTGTGGGAATTCAGCTTTCCATCATACGTCTCAATAAGCTCTGAAATGGTGTTGCTAGATTCTACAAAAAGAGTGTTTCCTATCAGCTGAATAAAAACTAAGGATCGATTCTTTAAGCTAAACGCACACAATGGAAAGCATTTTCACAGATAGCTTCTCTCTTGTTTTTAACGTGGAATACTCGTTTTTTCACCATAGGTCTTTACATCGCTTTTTAGATTCCACAAAAAAAGAGTTTGCAACCTCCAGAACTGAAAGAGAAGTTTGACTGTACAAGCTGACTCCGCACATCAGAAAGCATTTTCAGAGTAGTTTTCTTTTAGTTTTCATTGTGGGATATTTGGTTTTTATCCATACGACTTAATGGGCTCTGAAGTGTTTTTTTTCCCTGAATTTTACAAACAGAGTGTTTCTAACATTCTGAATCAAAACAAATGTTAAACTCTGTATGCTTAATCCACACATTCTAAAACATTTTAACAGATATGTATTTTCTAGTTTTTGTTTCTAGTTGTGTATCATGATATATTCTGTTTTGCACCATAGGCCTCTAAAGGCTGTGAAATGTCCCTTTAGATTCCACAAAAAGAGTATTTCAGACATTCTTTATGAAAACAAACGTTTAACACTATGAGTTGAATATGCACGTCACGAAGCATTTTTCACAGATAGCTTCTTTTTAGTTTTCATCGTGGTGTATACGGTTTTTCATCATACGTCTCAAAGGGATCTGAAATGTTGTTGCTAGATTCTACAAATAGTGTTTCCAACCAGCTGAATAAAAACAAAGGATCGACTTTGTGTGCTTAAGGCAAACATCACAAAGCATTTTCATAGATACCTTATTTTTTGTTTTTAACCTGGAATATTATTTTTTTCATCATAGGCCTCGATATCCCTTCTTAGATTCCACAAGAAGAGTGTTTTCAACCTACAAAATCAAAACAAAGTTTCGACTGTATGAGCTGAAACCCTGCATCACAAAGCATTTTCATAGTACTTTTTTTTAGTTTTTATTTTGGAATATTTGATTTTTATCTATAGGACTCAATGGGCTCTGAAATGCACCCTCCTGAATTTTACAAGGAAAGTGTTTCCAAACTTCCAAATGAAAACACACATTCAATTCTGTAAGCTGAATCCATACCTCAAAAAGCATTTTTTCAGATTGCGTGTTTCTAGTTTTTATCACGGTATATTCTGTTTTTTGCCATAGGCCTCTATGGGCTCTGAAATGGCACTTTGTACGTTCTCCAGAAAGAGTATTTCAGATATTCTGTATGAAAACAAACGTTGAAAACTGTGAGCTGAATCTGCATGTCACAAAGTATTTTTCACAGATAGCTTCTCTTTGGTTTTCATTGCTGGCAATTCGGCTTTTCATCATATGTCTCAATGGGATCTGAAATGTTGTTGCTAGATTCTACAAAAAGAGTGTTTATGACCAGCTGAATAAAAACAAATTATCGACTCTGTGACCTAAATGCACACATCACAAAGCATTTTCACAGATAGCTTGTCTCTTGTTTTTAACGTGGAATACTCGGTTTTTCACCATAAGACTTTATATAGCTTCTTAGATTCCACAGGAAGTTTGTAACCTCCAGAATTAAAACAAAAGTTCGATTGTACGAGCTGAATCCCCACATTAAAAATAATTGTTGTCAGAGTATTTTTTTTAGTTTTCATTGTGGGATATTTGGTTTTTATCCACAGGACTCAATGGGCTCTGAAATGTTTTTTTTTTTTTTTTTTAATTTTAAAAAGAGAATTTTTCCAACATTCTGAATCAAAAAAATATTCGACTCTGTAAGCTGAATCCACACATCCCAATACATTTTAACAGATATATATTTTCTAGTTTTTAATCACAATATATTCAGTCTTTCACCAGAAGCCTCAATAAGCTTGAAAATGTATTATCTTAGATTCTACAAAAAGAGTGTTTTCAACCTGCTGAATCGAAACAAAAGTTCAAAGTCATAGGCTGACTCTACATATTGCAAAGCATTTTTGTGGAATGCTTGTGCCTTTATAGACTCTACAAAAACAGGGTTTTCAACCTGCTGAACCAAAAAAAAGCTGCAAAAATTTGGGTTGAATCCACATATCACAAAGCATTTTCACAGATAGCTTGTTTCCAGTTTTTATCATGGGATATTTGATTTTTCACAATAGGCCTCAGTGGGCTTTGAAACATTTCTTTTTAGATTGTATAAAAACAGTGATTCCAACCTGCTGAATAAAAGCCAACGTTCATTTCTGTGAATTTAATCCACACATTGCAAAGCACTTTCCCAGATCACTTGTTTCTAGTTTTTATCACGGGTTATTCTGTTTTTTGCCATAGGCCTCTATGAGCTCTGAAATGTCGCTATATAAATTGTCCAAAAAAAATATTTCAGACATTCTGTAGGAAAACAAACATTTAGCACTGTAAACTGAATTAGCACATCATAAAGTATTTTTCACAGATAGCTTCTTTTCAATTTTTTATTGTGGAGAATTCGGCTTTTCATCATATGTCTCAATGGGATCTGAAATATTGTTGTTCCTGGATTCTACCAAAAGAGTGTTTCTGATCAGCTGAATAAAAACAAAGGATCGATTCTGTGAGCTTAATGCACACATCACAAATCATTTTCACAAATAACTTCTCTCTTGTTTTTAACATGGAATACTCGGTTTTTCACCATAGGCCTTTATAACAGTTCTTAGGTTCCACAAGAAGAGTGTTTGCAACCTCCAGAATTAAAGCAGAAGTTTAAATGTACGAGGTGAATCCCCATATCAAAAAGCATTCTCAGAGTTTTTGTTTTTTTGGTTTTAATGGTGGGATATTTGATTTTTAATCAAAGGACTCAATGGGCTCTGAAATGTTATTTCCTAAATTTTTCAAAGAGAGTGTTCCCAACATTCTGAATCAAAACAATTGTTAAACTCCGTGAGCTGAATCCACACATCCCAAAACATTTTCACAGATATATATTTTCTTGTTTTTAATCAAAAAAGATTCAGTCCTTCACAAGAGGCCTCAAGAAGCTTCAAAATGTATTATCTTACATTCTACAAAAAGAGTGTTTTCATCCTGCTGAATCCAAACGAAAGTTCAAAGCCATAGGGTGACTCTACATATTGCAAAACATGTTTATAGAATGCTTGTCCCTTATAGAGTCTACAAATCAGCATTTCCAACCTGCTGAACCAAAACAAAGCTTCAAAAATTTGGGCTAAATCCACATATCAAAAAGCATTTTCACAGATAGCTTGTTTCCAGTTTTTATCATGGGATATTTGGTTTTTCACAATAGGCCTCAGTGGGCTTTGAAACATTTCATTTTAGATTGTATAAAAACAGTTTTTCCAACCTGCTGAATCAAAACAATTCTTCAACTCTGTGAACTGGAGACATACATGGCAAAGCATTTGTAAAGATAGCTTTTTTATACTTTTCATCATGGGATTCATAGGTCTAAATCGGCTCTGAAATATCCCACCCTAGAATCTCCAAAAAAGTGTTCCCAAATTGCTGAATGAAAACAAAGGTTTAAATCTGTGAGCTGAATCCACACATTGCAAAGCATATTCCCAGATAGTTGTTTCTAGTTTTTATCACGGGATATTCAGCTTTTTACCATAGGCCTTAATGGACTCTATAATGTCCCTTTCCTGATTCCACATAGATGTTTCAAAATGTTAATAAAAGCAAAGGTTAAATTCTGTTACATTAATTCACACATTGCAAAGCATTTTCATAAATAGAGTATCTCTGATTTTTATTACTGAATATTAGATTTTTCATGACTGACTTCAATGAGCGGATCTTAAGGTCACAGGTTGGAGACTGGCCTTAAACGACAGAGTGCAACCTGCTCCGTATAAAAAACATAAAAACAGAAAAAAATAAAAAAGCTGAGCCAGGCATGGAATATGCTCACTTTGGCTGCACCTACAGTAATATTGGGAGGATACACAGAAGTCCTGCATGGCCGCTGTGCAAGGGTGACACACAAAGGTGTGCAGCGTTTTGTATTTTTCTGGCATTGTGGCTGTTTTGTAGAAATCAAATATAGACAAATTTGAGGTACAAAAAAAAAAAACAAGAAAGTTAGCTGGACGTGGTGGTGTGGACAGCTGAAACCCCAGCTACTTGGGAGGCTGCCATAGGACAATTGCTTGAACTGAGGAGGCAGAGGTTGCAAGAAGCCCACATTGCACCACTGCACTCCAGCCTGGGTGACAAGAGGGAAATGCTACGTCATAAAAAAAGGCGGGGAGCGGTGGGAGTCATCTGGCACCTTGTTTTATACAATTGTGCACACTGATCTGTCTGATTTCTTTTCTTTTTCTTTTTCTCCTTTTTTAAATAATTTGGGGTTTCCCCAAAATGTTCAGGCTGACCTTGAACTCGTGACCTCAGGTGACCTGCCCACCTTGTCCTCCCAAAGTGCTAGGATTGCTGGCATGAGTCACAGTACCTGGCCCAGTCTCTCTGATTTCTTTCTTAACAATAAAGTCGGCCAGCTGGGCATGGTGGCTCATGTGAACCTGTCATCCAAGCGCTTTAAAGACCAAGGCGGGAGGATCACCCGAGGTTATGGCTTCAAGAGTGGCCAGACCAGCAGGGTGAAACTCCATCTTTAAAATGAAAACAAAACATAGGTTGTGCTCGGCGCCTCATGCCTGTAATCCCAGCACTTTAGAAGGCTGAGGTGAGCGGATCATGAGGTCATAGATTCGAGACTGGCCTTGCACGAAACAGCACAACCTGCTCCCTATGAAAAACATAACAGAAAAAAATAAAAGCTGAGCTGGTCATGCACGTGTCCACTTCCGCAGCACCTACACTAAAATTAGGATGATACACAGAAGGCTGGTGTGGCCGCTGAGCAAGAATGACATGCAAAGGTGTGCAGCGTTTCGTATTTTTTTTTTTTTTTTTTGCCATTTTAGCTGTTTTGTAGAAATCAAATACAGATAGTTTTGACATACAAAAATAAAAAATAAAACAGAAAGGTAGCTGGACGTGGCGGTGTGGACACCAGTAACCCCAGCTACTTGTGAGGCTGTGGAAGGACAATCGCTTGAACTGAGGAGGCAGATGTTGCAATAAGCCAAGATCGCACCACTGCACTCCAGCCTGGGTGACAAGAGGGAAACACTGCATTAAAAAGAAAGGCAGGGCAGGAGGTGGAGTTATCTGGCGCCTCGTTTTTTACAATTGTATGCACTGATCTGTCTGATTCTTTTTCTTTTTCTTTTTCTCTTTTTTTAAATGAGGTGGGTTTTCCCCTGGATGCCCAGGCTGACCTCGAACTCCTGACCTCAGGTGACCCTCCCACCTCGGCCTCCCAAATTGCTAGGATTTCTGGCGTGGGTTACAGCACCTGGAGCAGTCTCTGTGATTTCTTTTATAACAATAAAGTTGGCCGTTCGGGCATGGCTGCTCACGTGAACCTGTCATCCAAGCGCTTTGAAGACCAAGGTGGGTGGATCACCCGAGGTTGTGTGTTCGAGACCGGCCCGACGAACATGGTGAAACCTCGTCTTTAAAAGAAAAACAAAACTTAGGTTGGGATCGGTGCCTCATGCCTGTAATCTTAGCACTTTGGAAGGCTGAGGTGTGTGGATCGTAAGGTCACAGGTTCAAGACAGTCCTTGAAAGACACAGAAAAACCCACTTTCTATGAAAAGCATAAAAACAGAAAAAAATTAAAAATCTGAGCCGGGCATGTCATGTGACCACTTCGGAAGCACCTACACTAAAATTGGGACAATAAACAGTAGGATGGCATGGCCGCCGTGCAAGGATGACACAAAAAGGTTGCAGTATTCTGTATTTTTTTTTGCCATTGTGGCTGATTTGTAGAAATGAAATGCAGATAGATTTGAGGTACAAAAAAAAAAAAAACAGAAATTTACCTGGACGTGGTGGTGTGGACACTTGCACCCCAGCTACTTGGGAGGCTGTGGCAGGACAATCACTTGAACCAGGGAGGCAGATGTTGCAACAAGCCAAGATCACACCTTTGCCCTCCACCCTGGGTGAGAAGAGGGAAACAGTACCTCATAAAGAAAGGTGGGGTGAGGTGTGAAGTCATGCGGCCCCACGTTTTTTACAATAGTACACACTGATCTGTCTGATTTCTTTTTTTTTTTCTTTTTCTCTTTTTTAAATGAGGTTGGTTTTCCCCGGGATGCCCAGGCTGACATCGTGACCTCAGGTGACCCACCCACCTCGGCCTCCCAAAGTGCTAAGAATGCTGGCATGAGTCACAGTGCCCAGCCCAGTCTCTCTGATTTTTTTTTAAAACAATAAAGTCAGCCGGCCGGGCACAGTGGTTCACATGAGACTGTCATCCAAGCGCTTTGAAGACCAAGGAGGGTGGATCACCTGAGGTTACCGGTTCAAGACTGGCCCAATCAACATGGTGAAACCCCATCTTTAAAACAAAAACAAAACTTAGTTTGGCCTCCGCGTCTCAAGCCTGTAATCCCAGCACTTTCAAAGGCTGAGGTGAGCAGATCGTTAGGTCACAGGTTCTAGTCAGGCCTCGAACGACACAGCGCAGCCTGCTCCCTAAGAAAAACATAAAAACAGATAAAAATTAAAAAGGTGAGCCGGACATGGCATGTGCCTGCTTCAGCAGCACCTACAGTGAAATTGGGACAATACACAGAAGGCCAGCATGGCCGCCATGCCACGATGACATGCAAAGGTGTGCAGCATTCCTTATTTTTTTTTGCCATTGTGGCTGTGTTTTAGAAATCAAATACAGATAGATTTGAGTTACAAAAACACAAACAAAAAATAAGTTAAGTGGACATGGTGGTGTGGACACCTGCAACCCCAGGAAATTGGAAGGCACCAGCAGGAAAATTGCTTGAACCCAGAAGGCAGATGTTGCAATAAGCCAATTATCGCACCTTTGCACTACAGCCTGGGTGACAAGAGGGAAACGCTATGTCATAAAGAAAGGTGGGGCAGGACGTGGAGTCATCCGGCACCTCGTTTTTTACAACTGTACACACTGCTCTGTCTGATTTCTTTTCTTTTTCTTTTTCTCTTTTTATAAATGAGTTGGGTTTTCCCTGGGATGACCAGGCTGACCTCGAACTGGTGACCTCAGGTGACCTGCCCACCTCAGCCTCCCAAAGTGCTAGGATTGATGGCGTGAGTCACAGTGCCTGGCCCAGTCTCTCTAATTTCTTTTTTAAATAATAAAGTCAGTCGGCCAGCCACGGTGACTCATGTGAGACTCTCATCCAAGCGCTTTGAAGACAAAGGCAAGCGGATCCCCCGAGGTTGCGGGTTCAAGATCAGCCTGACCAATACGGTGAAACCCCATCTTTAAAACCACAACAAAACTTAGGTTGGGCTCGGGGCCTCACGTCTGTTATCCCAGCACTTTGGAAAACCGAGGTGAGTGGATCGTGAGGTCACAGGTTCCTGATTGGCCTTGAAGGACACAGTGCAACCTGCTGCCTATAAAAAACATAAAAACAGAAAAAAAAAAGCCGAGCTGGGCGTGGCATGTGCTGGCTTCGGCAGGACCTATAATAAAATTGGGATGATACACTGAAGGCTGGCGTGGCCCCGCGCAATGATGACACGCAAAGGTGTGCAGCGTTTCGCATTTTTTTGGCCTTTGTGGCTGTTTTGTAGAAATCAAATACAGATAAATTTGAGGTACAAAAGAAAACCAAAAAAAACCCCCCAGAAAGTTAGCTGGACATGGTGGTGTGGACACCTGCAACCCCAGCTACTTGGGAGGCTGTGGCAGGACAATTGCTTGAACCGAGGAGAAAAATCTTGCAATACACCAAGATCACACCATTGCACTTCAGCCTGGGTGACAAGGGGAAAACGCTACATCATAAAGTCAGGCGGGGCATGGGGCAGAGTCATCCAGCACCTCGTTTTTTACAATTGTACACACTGATCTGTCTGATTTCTTTTCCTTTTTCTCTTTTTTAAAATGAGGTGGATTTTCCCCAGGATGCCCTGGCTGACCTCGAACTCATGACCTCAGGTGACCCGCACACCTCAGATTCCCAAAGTGTTAGGATTGCTGGTGTGAGTCACAGCACCCGGCCCAGTCTCTCTAATTTCTTTTTTAACAATAAACCTGGCTGGCCAGCCACAGTGGCTCATGTGAGCCTGTCATCCAAGCGCTTTGAAGACCAAAGCGGGTGGATCACCTGAGGTTGCGGGTTTGAGACCGGCCCGACCAACATGGCAAAACCCCATCTTTAAAACAGAAACAAAACTGAGGTTGGGCTCAGTGCCTTACGCCTGTAATTCCAGCACTTTGGAAGGCCGAGGAAAGTGGATTGTGAGGTCACAGGTTCGAGACTAGCCTTCAACGTCACAGTGCAACCTGCTCCCTGTGAAAAACATAAAAACAAAAAAAATTTAAAAAGCTTAGCTGGGCATGGCATGTGCCCTCTTCGGCAGCATCCACACTAAAATTGGGATGATCTGGTGAAGGCCCACATAGCCACAGTGCAATGATGACACGCAAAGGTGTGCAGCGTTCCGCATTTATTTTTGCCGTTGTGGCTGTATTGTAGAAATCAAATACAAATAGATTTGAGGTACAAAAAACAAACAAACAAACAAAAAAGTTAAGTGGACGTGGTGGTGTGGACAGCTGCAACCCCAGCTACTTGGGATGCTGTGGCAGGACAATCACTTGAACCGAGGAGGAAAATCTTGCAATAAGTCAAGATCGCACCATTGCACTCCAGCCTGGGTGACAAGAGGAAAATGCTACATCATAAAGAAAGGCGGGGCATGGGGCGGAGTCATCCAGCACCTCGTTTTTTAAAATTTTACACACTGATCTGACTGATTTCTTTTCTTTTTCTTTTTTTTTTTAAATGAGGTGGGCTTTCCCTGGGATGCCCAGGCTGACAATGAACTCGTGACCTCAGGTGACCAGCACACCTTGGATTCCCAAAATGCTAGGATTGCTGATGTGAGTCTCTCTAATTTCTTTTTTAACAATAAAGTCTGCCGGCAGGGCATGGTGGCTCTCATGAGCCTGACATCCAAGTGCTTTGAAGACCAAGGCGGGCATATCACCCGAGGTTCCAAGTTCGAGACTGGCCCGACCAACATGGTGAAACCCTGTCTTTAAAATGAAAACAAAACTTAGGTTGGGATGGGTAACTTATGCCAGTAATCCCAGCACTTTGGAAGGTTGAGGCAAGCAGACCATGAGGTCACAGTTTCGAGACTGGCCTTGAACAACGAAGCGCAATGCTCTCCCTATGAAAAACATAAATACAGAAAAAATTTAAAAAGCTGAGCCAGGCATGGCACCTACACTAAAATTGTGACAGCACCTACACTAAAATTGGGACGATACAGGAAGTCCAGTGTGGCAGCTGCAGAAGGATGACATGGAAAGATGTGCAGCATTTTGTATTTCTTTTGCCATCGTGGCTGTTTTGTAGAAATCAAATACAGTCATATTTGTGGTACAGAAAAAAAACAAACAACAAAAAAAAACGAGAAAGTTAGCTGGACGTGGTGGTGTGGACCCCTGCAACCCGAGCTCCTTGAAAGGTTGCGACAGGACAATAGCTTGTACCGAGGAGGCAGATGTTGCAATAAGCCAAGATTGCACCATTGCACTCCAGCCTGGGTGACAAGAGGGAAACACAACATCATTAAGAAAGGCAGGGCGGGGGGGTGAAGTTATCCGGCACGTTTTTTACAATTGTATACACTGCTCTGTCTGATTTCTTTTCTTTTTCTTTTTCTCTTTTATTAAATGAGGTGGGTTTTCAATGGGATGCCCAGGCTGACCTTGAACTTGTGACCTCAGGTGACCCGCCCACCTCGGCCTCCCAAAGTGCTAGGATTGCTGGCGTGAGTCACAGCGCCCATCCCGGTCTCTCGGATTTGTTCTTTTTTTTTTTTTTCTGAGACGGAGTTTCGCTCTTGTTACCCAGGCTGGAGTGCAATGGCGCGATCTCGGCTCACTGCAACCTCCGCCTCCTGGGTTCAGGCAATTCTCCTGCCTCAGCCTCCTGAGCAGCTGGGATTTCAGGCACGCACCACCATGCCCAGCTAATTTTTTATATTTTTAGTAGAGACGGGGTTTCACCATGTTGACCAGGATGGTCTCGATCTCTTGACCTCGTGATCCACCTGCCTCGGCCTTCCAAAGTACTGGGATTACAGGCTTGAGCCACCGTGCCCGGCCTCAGATTTGTTTTTTAACAATAAAGTCGGCCAGCCGGGCACGGTGTCTCAAGTGAGCCTGTCATCCAAGCTCTGTGAAGACCAAGGCGGGTGGATCATGCGAGGTTGCGGGTTGGAGACAGGCCTCACCAACGTGGTGAAACCCCCGTCTTTAAAACATAAACAAAACTTGGGTTGGGCTCAGCTCACGCCAATAACCCCAGCACTTTGGAAGGCTGAGGTGAGCAGATCGTGAGGTCAGAGGTTTGAGACTGGCCTTGAATGACACAGCGTACCCTGCTTCCTATGAAAAACATAAAAACAAAAAAAATAAAAAAGCTGAGCCTGGCATGGCATGTGCTCGCTTCGGCAGCACCTACACTAAAATTGGGACGATACGCAGAAGGGGGGCATGGCCGCCATGCAGGGATGACACGCCAAGGTGTAAAGCATTCCATATTTTTTTGTTTTTGTTTTTGCCTTTGTGGCTGTTTGGTAGAAAACAAATAAAGATAGATTTGTGGTACAAAAGAAAAAAAGAACAGAAATTTAGCTATACGTGGTGGTGTGGACACCTGCAACCCAAGCTACTTGGGGGGCTGCGGTAGGACAAATAGCTTGAACCAAGCAGGCATATGTTGCAATAAGCCAAGATCGGACCATTGCACTCTAGCCTGGGTGACAAGAGGGAAACACTAGCTCATAAAGAAAGGCGGGGCAGGGACTGGAGTCATGCACCTCGTTTTTTACAATTGTAAGAGTGATCTGTCTGATTTCCTTTCTTTCTCTTTTTGTAAATAAGGTGGGTTTTGACCGGGATGCCCAGGCTGAACTTGAACTTGTGACCTCAGGTGACCCGCCCACCTAGCCTAACAAAGAGCTAGGATTGCTGGCGTGAGTCACAGTGCCCGGCCCAGTCTCTGTGATTTCTTTTGCAACAATAAAGTCTGCCAGCCAGGCACTGCGGCTGACATGAGCCTGTCATTCAAGCGCGTTGAAGACCAAGGCAGACGGACCACTGGAAGCTGCAGGTTCAAGAGCAGTCTGACCATCATGGTGATACCCGGTCTTTAAAAAGAAAAAAAAAACTTGGATTGTGTATGGTGGCTCATGCCTGTAATTCCAGTACTTTGGAAGGCCAAGGTGAGCGGATCGTGAGGTCACAGGTTTGAGACTGGCCTTGAACAATGCAGCGCAACCCGCTCCCTATAAAAAAAATAAAAACAGAAAAAGCAAAACAGCTGAGCCGGGCATAACATGTGCTCGCTTCGGCAGCACCTATACAAAAATTGGGACAATACAGAGAAGGCCGGCATGGCCACTGCCCAAGAATGACACACAAAGGTGTGCAGCATTCCATATTTTTACTTTCTGCCGTTGTGGCTGTTTTGTATAAATCAAATACAGATAGATTTGAGGTAAATAAAAAAAATTATACTCACAGAAAGTTAGCTGGACATGGTGGCCTGGACACCTGCAACTTCAGCTCCTGGGGACTCTGCGGCAGGACAATTGCTTGAACCGAGGAGGCAGATGTTGCAATAAGCCAAGATTGCACCATTGCACTCCAGCCTGGGTGACAAGAGGGAAACACTGCATTAAACAGAAAGGCAGGGCAGGAGGTGGAGTCATCTGGCACCTCGTTTTTCACTATTGTACACACTAGTCTGTCTAATATTTTTTCTTTTTCTTTTTCTCTTTTTTTAAATGAGGTGGGTTTTCACCGGGATGCCCAGGCTGACCTCCAACTCGTGACCTCAGGTGACCTGCCCACCTCGGCTTCCCAAAGTGCTAGGATTCCTGGCCTGGGTCACAGCGCCTGGCCCAGTCCCTCGGATTTCTTTTTTAACAATAAAGTCGGCCGGCTAGGAACGGTGGCTCACGTGAGCCTGTCATCCAAGAGCTTTGAAGACCAAGGCGAGCAGATCACCTGAGGTTGCAGGCTCGAGACCGGCCCGACCAACGTGGTGAAACCTCGTCTTTAAAACGAAAACAAAACTGGGGTTGGACTCGTTGGCTCACGCCTGTAATCCCAGCACTTTGGAAGGCCGAGGCATGTGGATCGTGAGGTCACAGGTTCGAGACTGGCTTTGAACGACACTGCACAACCTGCTCCCTATGAAAAACATAAAATCAGAAAAAAACACAAAAGCGGAGCCGGGCATGGCATGCACTCTTTTTGGCAGCACCTACATTAAAATTGGGATGATACACAGAAGGCCGGTGTGGCCGCCGCGCAAGGACGACATGCAAAGGTGTGCTGTGTTCGGTATATATTTGCCGTTGTGGGTGTTTTGTAGAAATCAAATACAGATAGGTCTGAAGTATTAAAAAAAAATGTTAGCTGGACTTGGTGGTGTGGAGGACACCTGCAACATTAGCTCCTTGGGAGACTGCGGCAGGACAATCACTTGAACCGAGGAGGCAGATGTTGGAATAAGCAAAGCTTGCACTGTTGCACTCCAGCCTGGGTGATAAGGGCGAAACGCTACATCATAAAGAAAAGCAGGGCGGAGGGTGGAGTCATCCGGCACCTCTTTTTTTTTTTTACAATTGTACACACTGGTTTTTCTGATTTCTTTCCTTTTTCTCTTTCTCTTTTTTTAAATGATGTGGGTTTTCACCGAGATGCCCAGGCTGACCTCGAACTCGTGACCTCAGGTGACCAGCCCACCTCGGCCTCCCAAAGGGCTAGGATTGCTGGCATGAGTCACAGAGCCCAGCCCAGTCTCTCTGATTTCTTTTTTAACAATAAAATCAGCCGGCCGGGCATGGTGGCTCACGTGAGCCTGTCATCCAAATGCTTTGAAGACCAAGGTGGGCGGATCACCCCAGGTCACGGTTTCGACATCGGCCGACCAACATGTTGAAACCCCATCTTTAAAATGAAAAGAAAGCTTGGGTTGGGCTCGGCGGCTCACGCCCATAATCCCAGCACGTTGGAAGGCCGAGGCGAGTGGATCGTGAGGTCACAAGTTCGAGACTGGCCTTGAACAACACAGAGCAACTCGCTCCCTATGAAAAACATAAAAACAAAAAAAAATACAAAAGCTGACCTGAGCATGGCATGCACTCTTTTTGGCAGCACCTACATTAAAATTGGGATGATACGCGGAAGGCCGGTGTGGCCGCCGTGCAGGGATGACACCCAAAGGTGTGCAGCGTTCCTATAAATTAGGACTTCAGCCCCCCTTTTTTTTTCCGGAAAAAGTTTCTAAGATGTCTAATTAGTGTTAAGCCAAGATTCTGGGTCAAACTGAATCACGTATTCTTCAAAACAGCCCATTGACTAAGCACATTTTATTCTCTTTATGGTTTTTGATAACCCATAGCACCAGCCTCATAGTGAAAAACGTATTTGGGTCCTTCTTTTCACTGGCAGAGAGTTTTCTTGTACTTCTTTCCTTTGCTTTTATCTCATCTTTGTGACTGAGCTTCTTATTTATTTACTTATTTATTTTTTGGACATAAGACAAAGATCTTTGTATATAATCTCAGAAAAAAAGATACTGTTACTTGGTGCTTTTGGTGGGACTACAACGTATATTGTTACATAAGCGGAGAGAAAATAATTTATCCAAATAGTAAGATTAGACCTTCAATTTTCAAATTCATTTCAAAAGGTCTTGTTAGTTTCAATCTAGCATTTTTTCATAAAAAGCTTGGCAATCACATGGGATGTAAAAGTGATCCTAAGGAAATGGAAGATTTCTGCTTAAGGCTAAATTTTAGTGTTATCTGATTTCCCTTAGACTAACTCTGATCCCTGACAACTTATTATTAGGCCATTGGTTCGATCACCTACAGAATGACCTAACTTTTTGCCGTGCTTCTTTACTAAACCCTCTGAGACCAAAAGGCTTGCAAGATACCCTATAAACCTGGGAGATATTAAGTAATAGCCAAATTTGTGTAAGAGTTTTTAATGATAGAAGTGCTTTCGTACTGTTTGGTTTCTCTATTTGTGTAATCAGTACAAAGAGATTTGTAGCTATTTCCAGGTTTTGTCAATTGAATTTACCATTTTTTGTTATCACAGCTATAATGGATTTTATTCATTTTTGTATGCAATGTTCTAAGCCTTTTGATGGCCTAGGTATATAATTTTGGTAGGTAGAATCACTCGATGACTTAATAATCAGGAGTAAAATTCAAAATGTATATTTTTGTGATTTCCCTGAAACAAGGAGAAGTCAAGATTTTAGTATAAATTTTTATCTATTAAGGGTTGTTTGGTCTCTTAATAATAGATATTTTTGGCACTGTAAAGGAGAATATTTCACCTCACATGAGTAATCATTTTTAATTTGTTTTCTTAAAAAGAAATTATTTCCTTCCATATAACAGCTATGTCATGAGACAAGTTAATTTTTGCCTCTTGGGTGGCACACAGTAGAGATAACCTATTAAACCCCACACCCCTCTCTTTAACTTTTGACTGAAAAGAATTTGAAGTCAGAATTGTTTTACTGTTATTATTATTATTATAAGTAGCAGCAGTAGTATAGTATTGAGATAAAATTTTGCTCTTAGCTCCATAGCTTTAGGGCAATGGTGAAATATTTTCTCAGTGCAACCTCTGACTCCTGGGTTTGAACAATTCTCCTGCCTCAGCCGTCCGAGTAGTTGCAATTACCAGTGCCTGGCAATATGCATGTATATATATATACATTCACACACACACACACACACACACACACACACACACACACATACTTTAAAATATTAGATATATATATACTTTAAAATATTAGTTATATCACTTAAAATTCTTAAGAAATACATATGTTTCTAAACTATTTCTTATTACATGAAAGAGAGAATGGCTCTCATGATAAAGATGGAAGCAGCCTTGAATAAAATCTTATTAAACAGCCTGGATGTGATGGCTCATGCCTGTAATCCCAGAACTTTGGGAGATTGTGGTGGGGGATGACTTGAAATCAAGTTTGAGATCAGCCTGGCCAACATGGTGAAACCCTCTTTCTAGTAAAATACGAATCTTTTCTGGGGCATGGTGACACATGCCTATAATCCTGGCTACTCAACCTGGTCAACATGGTGAAACCCCCTTTCTACTTAAATGCAAAAAATTATCTGGGGAATGGTAGTACATGCCTATAATCCCAGCTACTCAGGACCTGAGATGAAATAATGACTTGAACTCAGACTGTAGAGACAGCAGTAGGCTGTGATGGCACCATTGCATTCCAGCCTGTATGACAGAGTGAGACTCTGTTTCAAAAAAAAATCTTTCTAAACGTAAAGAAGCAATGTAGAAAAATAGATGTGGAAATCAGCTTTGAAAATCTCTCTGTTTGTTGTTGTTAGATTTGGTTTTGGTTTGGTTTTTAAACAGAGTCTTGCCGTGTGGCCCAGGTTGGAGTCCAGTGGCATAATCATGGCTCAGTACAGCCTCAACCTGTCTATGTTCTAGCGATTTTCCCACCATAGCCTCCTGAAC